CATGTGTAACGTGGGCTCTATAGAGCGTTTAGGGACAATACCCCAAGAATGGAGCATCAACGTAAAGCAACATGGAAGCTGGGATTACATGCGGCTTTATAGGGACTATGTAATTCAGGGGCCTACAGGACTATCCATATCACTTTAGAGGTACCCTACACAGTAATTATACTAGGAAATCTAGGATCATGATTTTTATGCTTCAGAGTTTACGGTTCAGGGTGGAAGTGTTTGGGTTTAAGGGTTAGGGTTGCAGGGTTAAGGACTGTGTGCGAGCCCAGATGCAAAAAGAGTTAAGCCTTTAGGGTTGAGGGTTTGGTGCGCAGGGGCTTGGTCTAAGAGCTGCATGGTCCCATGGGACACCATACAACAATGTATGGGATACCCTGGTGCCTGAGGGGTAAGTTGGGATTAACAGGCTTCGGCAGGGAGTATGTGCAATCCCTGAATTGGTGCCTGAAAAATCAACCACTCTCCATGTGAAAGGAGGAAGCGCGTGCTGCACCAACGCCCCCTCCAAGGGCCACAGTGCCGCCAGGGACCGTGCCTTCGCCGACGGAGGAGGGTGGGCGGGTTCTCACGCCTAGGCTTTGGAGTGGAGATCTGGGATTTCGATTGAATTCAGGGGTTGGGGAAGCAGGTTCTTCATCAGGCACCCCACACGTAAACAAGTGCTTGTAGGAAAGCCTTACATAATCTTGAGTTCTAAGCTGTCTGGTTTCATGTTTCCAGAATTCATGGCAATTGTTTCTGGGTGATTCTTCCCCAAACTAAGCCAGAACACCAAAGATTCTCTAGGAAGAGTTCTGATACTGTCTTTTGAACGTGGGATTTCTGGGGTTGAATGGTCGTCCGGGATCATAACTTAAAGCTGTAGTATAATGTGCCCCAACCCCATATTAGAATCATTATAGGCCTCCACAGTAGACCTTCAACTTGTGCAGGAGTTGCCCCATGCCTGGCGGCCCTGGCGTTGTCCAATCTTCCCATGGCAGCAGAAAGCGGAGGAAACAGGGCAATCCCCTTTCATAAAAAGGAGGTTTGAGGGGGTGAGATTTGAGGGTTTAGGGATGGAAAGCAACATGGGCAGCGATATCGACGCCAGCGGTACGTGGGGGTTTCTAGTGCTCGTCGGAGATCAGTGCGGATACCTGAACAATGTCCCTTTTGTAGTCCAAACTTAATTTGGATTCTGTAGGGCGCTACAATCCCTTCTCTTCCCTCTATCTTCAACATCCCCTCCCACACGCCTCCCTTGACATTATTCTTCATGGTAGCCCAGGTTTATGGACCGGTTAATTTATGAATTTGATGTTGGTGGGTCGGGGGCTGTTTCATTTCAGGCGCAGATGCCTTGCTCATACAAGCCCGCAGGTTGCTAAGTTTCCCCCGTACCGCAGGTTATATTGGGATAATGGAAAATCAAATGGAAACCGTGGGGATTATACAGGGTTTATATAGGGATTATAGGGTGTGTGTGTATATATATATGTATATACTTTGCGAGCTCCTTCATTCAAAACACTTGCGTTGAGGGCTGCAGGGTTGACTGAACCGCGTGATCTCTGCGGTAGTCAGCTCTGCAGTTGCAGTGTCGGTAGCTTGGTACTTCCGATCAAGTAACTGTAGCAGTCGAATGTCATGCATGTGCGCATTACTGCACGGGCAAGCCAAGATGGCCCCCTCCTTGCAGCCTCTTCGGTCATAGATATTGACGGCTGAGGGTATCGGCATGCACTACGTGCAGTGGCACATGTATGGCTTGAAGATTTTCAATCTTGTTGCGGTACAGTGTTACAAAGGAGTTGATCACATTATTCGCCCTTTCAATGTTCAAAGGATCGTTCCGGGCATCCTAAAGCTCAGAAACTGATCCACAGTTCAACCCTATAAACCAAACTCTATAGTGCATGATTTAAGGTTTAGGGCTTAGGGCTGTAATCCCCAGCCTGCACATCCTTAGTCCAAAGAGAGAGACGCCTACACCCTAAACCTTTTGATTAAACCAACCTGTGAACCGTTATTGTCCGTATGAACATTGAGCCCCAAGCTTTGAAGCCTATAAATGCTGTAGAAGCTTGAACCTCCCATGTTATACCCTTAGAGAATCCTTAAGTAATTTTTATAACATCAAGAAAAATGACTCCCAGAATCCCTTCTGAACTGACTAGGGTCTGCAAGAAATCCTGTATCGACGCCCAAATAAAACTGAACCGTGACTTCGAGCACAGGAGCGGAGAGCGCAGGAGCGAAGGCCCACGAAACCTCCAAAGCCACCCAGCACTGAGCCTGGGAAGGGAGAGCCAGGCCATGATTCGGGGGTTTGGTGGGGGTGATTGTTTTGTTTAGAAGGGGTTTGTGGCATCGGTGTGATGAGAATTGGGGGAGGATGGGTCGGGGCTTCGAGACTAGGAGACTTGGGATTACCGGAGTTAAGCTTCCGGTTTAAGAATTCTGGATCCTGCAGACCCCAGACCCCAAAGGGGTACTTCAAGATCTTTAGGCTGGCACAGTTGCAGGGTTAGAGAGTGCGCAGGTCGGCCTTGCAGTCGCGATGGTGGTTGGTGATGGTGGCGGTAGCGGTGCCAAGGGCAGCGGTGGCAGTGACAGCGGTGGTTCTTGTGTCGGTGGTGGTGCTATTGATGGTGATGGTGCTTGCGAGGCGGTGCTTTTGATTGATGCTTTTGTTCCATCGCAGTGGTTCTCGTAACCATCAACAGCTTTTGTGCATGTTGGAAAGATCAATGCTGTTTTTGCTGCCGTAGCATTTCGGCTCACTTTCGAGAGCCAGCAACCCTGAAGACCCATCAGCCCGAACGAGGAGTGGCGCGCGCCTGGCAGCAGAAGGTGCATAAATCCAATGTTGCAGGATCTTGAACAAATGGGAAGTCCGCTCACTGCACATGTTGGGCATTTTTTCATATTGGGTGTGTTTCCCGAAATTTTAGGGGTACCTTTCTGGGGTTTCCCCTTCTTTTGTGCAACTACCATTTATAGACATTCTGGAAGAGCCATGCTACAAGTGTGGAACGCTGGCGGCGAAAGACTGTGCTCTTTGCCCTCAGAGAACCTGGGGAGTCATCCAGTCAAGGCCATGACATGACCCCAAGCCAGTGCCTAAGTACTGGTGGACGGTTTAGGTTTAGGGTTTGGAGTTCCAAGGTTTTAGGGCCAGGGTCTAGGGTCCAAAAGGCTAGGGTTGAACGTTTAGGTCGAAAGGGTTTCGTGCTTCAAGCCTAGAACCCTAAACCCTACATCACGTTGGGGTTAGGGTGTACGGGAAGCGTTTAGGGCTAGGATTCATGTAGCTATAGGGTCTAAACCGTGAAGAATACCCAAGTTGAAGGCCTGCCCCACACATGGGGATTGGTCTAAATTCCCTATAATACGGGGTCCTATATTTGGGTTCCCCTTATAATACGGAGCCCTATATAAATTTCCCCCATTTTGGGAACAGTAATTTAGGGAAACTACCACATACTAAAATCTGACGCTCCCTCCACAGAAGGCCGTGAAAGAACACCTCGAGGGTCTTTGCCACGTACCCCGTTTCAGACAGAGACTGGATCATAACTGGGCTGCTGTTAAGGAATTGAAATTAAGTTCCTAAAATAAGAAAACCAGATTACTAACTATACCCATAGTAGGGTAAATTAATGTCATATTAAGTTCCTTAACAGATGAGGTCGGTGTTTGGGGGTCTTGGTTCAGGGCTCTGGGTCCAGTTGCTATATCGGGTTTCGTCGTAGCGCTCAGGGATTACGGTTCCGTTTGCCTTTTGGGGGTGCGCGCTTTCCATGATTTCTGCACCTTTGCTTCCTAATGCTGGCTCAGGAGACTCCTTTGTGATGGCGAGCTGATGCAGGACTCTTGTCCCATCATGCTTGGGACTGACCTTCAGTTGATATTGCTTCCCTTTGCTGACACTTCAGAGTCGGACGCAGAAAATCTGGTGACATCATCACGGCTTGGCGATTCGGCTGCCGTGGAAAAGCTGCTACAACGGCCCCAAGACCCGGACATCTGTGTCACTGCAACTGGGTTGGTATTTTAAATTGTTTGTTTGGAGGCTTAGCGGATCTTAGCGGAATCACTTCCCAGCTTAAAGCCTACGCTTCAGAATGTACGTAAGGCCGCAGAGAGTAGTGATCTAGGTTTCAACTGGACCACAATCCCATCACGAATTACATAGGTTGGAAGTACTGCAGCCTTCTCTGTAGATCGTGATTGCCTTTAGAGGTCACCAGAGCCCGCCCTATACTCTAAAATGCACAACTGCGATAGTTAAAGAGGGAGCCCTAAATTTCGGAAAGCCGTCCCACAGACTGGCAATTTCCACAACCTCGAATTGCCAAGGGCTTCCAAACTGTCACTCAGGCACGGCATCCACCGGTTACGCCTTTATGTGCGGCATGCAGTGATGGCCAGGCGTAGTGCCTTCAAAACTGGGAGCTTAGGGCACAGGCCTCTTGCCATATAGGCGCAAAGGAATGGGTTATAGGTTGGGTACTGCCCCCAGTCATTAACAGCAGGATAATATCTATAATGTAACGTCAAACAATAAAGAGCCCTTAAATGATCCCTATTATGGACTGTCAATGGATGGGGGCAGGACCCAAATTATAAGGCCATGACAAACTAGACAATCATGGGGTCCACAGGGCCTAGGCATGGAGCTTAAAGATGCATGGACAGAGGAGTCTAAGACAAATTGCGACTGGGAGGAGAGTCCTTGTCAACTTACTGGAAGTATGTAGGGGGACGTGCCCAATATCCCAGGAGCCCTGAGCCCTAAACCTAATTGAGTAGTATTTTATTTGGGGATACTATGGTACCCAATATAGAGTAAGATCCTCCTGGAATATAATCTTACTGAGTTTAACCATCAGAAAAAGCGGTACCCAATTTTGGAGAAATGCCCTCAGGTAGAGGTGGTGAAGTTGCTCCTGGAGGCCAGGGCAGACCGCAACCTCGCCGCTACTGGCCCCAGCCCTCTCGCAATGGCATCAGACCAGGGCTTTCCCACAATTGTGGACTTGCTGTTGCTGGATCGTTCTGGGAATGGGTTCTCAAGTTAAGTAAATCACTTTCTTTCGGGATTACCGCGTATGATAAAAACTTCAAGGGCGAATATCGCCGCTGTTGTGATCTAGGTTGCGCGCACGAGCAGATCCCAACGAGCCTGGCCCTGGGGAGAGAGCACCACTGTGGCTAGCAGCGTCCACAGGCCATTTGGAGGCTGTCCGCTTGCTGCTGGGTGCTGGTGCTCTGAAAGAAAAGGTGGACGGGCAGTTGCATACAACACCGCTCTGGGTAGCAAGCGCCAATGGCCATCCCGACGTTGTCCGACTTCTGCTGACCGCGCGAGCTAACCATAAAGCCACAGCAGTCGACGGCTCCACCCCGTTTGATGTAGCATGGCTGAAGGGAAATGCGGAGATAAAGCATCTGCTGTCACAAGTCAATATTGCCGCGGAGCAGACTGATGCCGAGGCAAAAAGTGGCGTTGTGGTACCAGGTTACCCGTGAAATCTTGATGGCCTCCTTGTTTGAGAGCCTGGAGGATCGACCCTAGTGCTGTTACGCCACCCCGCGAATTGGGAGCTTGTAATTTCATACAGTAGAAGCATTCGACTGACTCCAACTACATTGCCGGCCAGGATGATCAACGCCCTCTTTTGAGTTGGGTTGTGTATTTACACACTGAAGGCAAAGTGTGCTAGGAAAACATCAAGACTGCAAATCATAAGTCAAGCTACCTGGGGCGAGATCGCAACTTGCTTATCTACAGGCCTCTAGGCTTCCAGATCTTATCAAATCCAGTGTCTCAAACTCCAGAGGAACAAAGGGATGCATGTGGGCTAGACATGTGAAGATGGTTACTGGCTTGTCCGAAGGATCCCCCATGCTCCCAGTATTTGGCGTTCACCGTACCCTAAGGGTCCAAGCAAGGACCCCAAAAATAGGTTCTAGACCCCACTACCATTACTGATGTAATATTTGGGCCCTAAAATCAATTGGGCCCTAAAGCTATTTGGGTCCTTGGACCCTTCGGGGTAAGGATCTGTACGGTTTCAGGGTTCATTTGACCACCCAATCCCAAGTTCGCACTTGGGGCCAAGGGATTCACTTGAGCGATAGTCTGAACTCCTTAAAGGGGGGTCATAGGGCGGTTTCCCAAAATCAGTGGTACTTTAGAGGGGGTCCCCATAATAGTATTTCGGGATCCATATTGGGGTTCCCTAATTTTGGGAAACTACCAATATATAGGGGATTCTATAGAACGTTCATGTCCAAGAAGCCCTGACATGACGAGAAGCTCACCCTTATCCAAATCTCAAAGCCTGAGACACCCCGCAGCATGCAATCCATAGTTTCGATAATTCAACCCCAAGATGCCCAAACAGTAGGCCTTGAGCCCAACCGAGCCCCAAATTCCTCAACCCCATTGAGAGACATAAGCCTTACATGATGTTACATGCCAAACCCTAAGACCTTAAATCCCAGACCCTGAATCCTAAGCTCATGACTGGCGGCTACCGTGGAAGTTTTTCGAGGTGAGTTCATTCAAATGCGTTGCTCGTGATGAGCGGCATGTCTGTTGAACATCTGTTTGCCCTGCATGCGTAACGGCCAGGCAGGAGGGAAACAACCCTGGGCCCGCAGTCCCCAAACTTTTCCTTTAGTTCGATGCGAGTGCCAACATCCCAAAACTACCGAAGTCCTTACTCTCCGAGGGATCCAAGTAGACAAATAATACTTACATTTGGCCCTAGCGTCTGTAAATCTTATTAACTACATTGAGCTATTTGGATCCCCATACATCTCCATAAAGCTCCTAATTCCGTTTCACTGTCCATCTGTTTTTCCATTTGATTCTCCATTGTTGGGTAATACATTGACCTAAGCTACCGGAAGCCTTTAAAACCGTAAACCCTGAATCTGTTTTTTCCACGGCCCTCCTGTGGAGTTCCTGAGCAAATTTCGAGACCAGGGGAAGGGGGGCCACCATCCCGAAAACATTCTAAAAACATCAAAACAGGACGGCAGTACCTCCCAGGCGCCTTCTAGGGGTCTTCCAAGAGCCACCCTCCCAGATTATTCACACCAGCAAGCCTCAACGGCCCCCGGCAACCTCTTATGGTGGCGGGGTCTCGGGTTTTCAAAGCCCTGGCGCGAACAAACATAAGATAAGGTTGTTGACCAAGATGGACCTAACTGAGTTGAGGTCCTAAACCCTTTAGAGGGAGTAGGTTTGGGTGGCCTGGCCGCCTCAGACGGTGTGGGGTGGGAGATCTATAAGATGGCCCTCGGCGCAGCCTTGCAACTTGTCTCTCGCATGACCCACGATAAAATCACGGCAATCTGTAAACCCTGAACCCTAAGCCCTCTAATCCCCTAACAGCAAGCTGCCCTGGGAACAGGTCCCAGTGACGCTGGCGCCGGTTTTGGGCGGGCCTGGAATTGGGGCACCGGCATCTTCTCAGGCGCTGAAATTGAGGGCCCATGGGGATTCTATGAAGATTTTTCTGTCTGTATATATATATATAGAGAGACATATAGATAGAGATGTTGATATATTAATACAAGGATTACATAGGGATTATACAGATATATACTTGTATAGGGATTATATGAGCTATAGTCTAAACTCCTAGTATCCCCCTTAGCAACCCCTATATAATCTCCTAGATAGCCCCCGTTAAGGAGTTCAGACTAGAGTTTATATTCGGGTGCAGGGTTAAGGATATTAACGGCTTAGGACTCAGGATTTAGGACGTTGGATTTACGAGACGACGGGTTGAGACGTTTGAGTTGTAGGGCTTGGCTTCTGCAGGGTTGAGGATGTTGAGCTTTGCGTTTGGGACCCAGGGTCCATAAACGGGGCCATCATGGGTTTCAGGGTTCCAGAGGCTTTGCAGGGCGCTATCAGGCATGGCCAGAGACAGCACGTCATGCCCCAGAATTGTGGGTTATTTACTGTGATGCGAGGGACATGTGAGTATCGGCTAGATCTATGCAAGAAGTTGCATATCCAGGCAGGATCCAATGCTCAGGTGGTTCATTATTTCCAGTGGTCACCGCGCTGTGCAAGAGATCTGGTACAACAAAGATGTAGGGCTTTTCGCTGATCTATGTGAGGGTCTAGAAGGCCGATACCAAAATCTGTGCTTTTCAGTTGGCGTTTGGCTTCGTCTCCGAAATCCACCGTTCCTTGAAAGTCCGAAGCCCGGAGACCCTGAACCTTCTAGTCATGCTATGGGCTCCCCCAAACTACCACAAATTGAGGGGCTTATCAAAGACTACTGGAGTTAATAATGATGTCTAGGGTGGGGGGGGTGGGCCTTGTAGTTGTGTGATGAAACCTCTCAGGCCATAGCAAGGTTGGTGCTCTCAGCAGCGAGGAGCTTCAGCAGCAAGAGGTGCGGAAAGGAACATCTGTGGGTTTAGGGTTATAGGGTAGGTACCCATTGGGGTAATACTAGGGTTATATAATTAGGGATAATGTATATAGGGTTTGGGGTAAGATTCGGGTTTTACTAGGGTTATATTATATGGGGATATTGGAAAAGAAGATGAAAACTAGTATGTACGGTTTGGTGGCTGTGCGTTTGACGATATTTGACGACAGAGACATGCTGAAATGTTGGGCACAACTTCACTACAGGGGGGCTTGTTCCGCGACATGCAAGGATTCCTTTTTAGTTGAGACTCGGCATGGGTGCATCAGCAGATGTATCTGTTTAGTGTGCTTCCTCTACATTCAAGTTCAGGTGGCAGTTCTGATGGGAGCGTCACCGAACTCTTTCTCAGCGTCTCTCAGCTGGTCTTAGCCTGGAACCTGCACAGACTCAACGGTCAATTTTTGGCCCTAAGCTCCAAACCTCTCATCTCCCTTGCATGCCTAGCTAACCGTTTGCTGTTTTAAAGTCCAGCAGAAGTCCCAATGCTCCCGCTTCCTTCCCCTGTGGGGAGGTGGATCTCGTGGCAGCACGGACCAAAGAGCTAATAGTCTGGGGCCCGGTCTTGTTCTGGATTTGAGGCTTAAAAGTTGAGGCTTTCGAATCTTGAGTAGTATAGCGATTGTCTTTCTTTGAGCTTTGCGCATCCTGAAAAGGGGCTTATAAGAAAGGTTAAGGAGAGCCATGCCGCACCAAGGTTTCGGATTTAGGTCTGCATGCAGGACCAAGGCTTAATATTGAGTAGTAAGTGTCAAGGAGATCTCTAGCGTAAGTCTATTAGCTCAAAGGGCTTTGGAAGTAATTTGCATGGCATAGCCTGGGTTGAGGCTTTGCTGCCATCAAAATTGTTGGGTCTGAGCCTTTTTGAACTCTGATGCGATACTGGGAAGCTTGACTTGTGAAACCTGACAGGTATATCGGCGTACTTACAGACGGTGAAAGCCGCACGTCGCGGAACGCAGGGGCGTAGAAGCGTCCGTGGCGCGCTGCAATGATGGCTACAAGAACCGTGTGGTGGCAGCAGCATGTTCCGCATGCCGTCTGGACGTTGAAGTCCCAATTCCAGCATCAAATTCTATGGCCCATTTGTAGTCGCACTGCGAATTTCCCGGATTTTTTTTTGGTCCTGTTAAGCATATGAACCCACCACTACTTCCAAAGGCGAGGCTCTCACCAGAAAATCCGTTTGTCCTGTGCCAAGGCGCTGCTGGACGCAGAGATGTCTTCGACGAAGGATCGCCCAATGGAGGCGGACCTTCGACTGGCGTGCTTCAGGGGTTTGCAAATTGGGGTGTCCTCTGAGGATGCCCCCATAGAATATACATGTAGATGTATATGTAGTATATACTTCTTACAGGGACCCCGAACATGCGACCCCTAGCTTTTGGAAACCGCCATATGGGGCCCAAGGATTCAAAAACCAGGTGTCCGACGGTTAGAAGAACAAAGGTAGCAGCACTTCCGATTCCTGATCAGTTGAGATCGAATCATGGGTAGGGATCCAACATTTTCGGTAGTATTCCGGCTCACAAGATCACAGCAAAGGCGGGTGACAAGTCAGATATCCGTGCAGCTTGTTAGGGTTCTGCGAAACTATACACATCCGGGTAAGGGCTTGTCTTGCCATGTAATACTTCTGCCACAGGCGCGCCGGCGAGTCTTTAAAGATCTGCAGCGTTCGGCCACCCAGACTTAGACTAATGCTGAGGCTGAGGCGGATGACGGAAATCAAGTAAGGGTTCTGGTAGAGGAGAGGAGAAAGAGGAGGGGGAGTGCGTAGCAGTCGGCATAGCAGTTGGACGTCCGCAAGCTGTTAGCTGGAAATCCTGAACACCCTGCAATGCAAGAAGTCAGTCGTGTTGTGTGTCTGTTGGCCCATAATAGCCGGCAGTTTCATCTAACATGCTGCTCTCAAAGCCGTTGAGCGCAGAGTCTCGGCAATTTCCAGACCTCATGAGGTGGAACAATGACTGAGACTGACTGATCAAGTTGTTTCAGGGGTGACGATTGTTGTCCTGAGCTTCTCAACGTGGGATGAAGTGCCAGCAGGGACCAAGTTAAAAGCGC